TTTTACTTGCTCATCATGGTAATCGGTAGGTTTCAAGGCCGGTCTCTTACGTTTCACAGCAGGTCGCTGAACTGCAAATGTTGTAGAGTAAGAGCCTCTTTTTATTTGATCGTAGGGTGCTGGACAGCAAGTTAGAGCGGGCAATACAGAAAGTTGACTTGAGGACACTGCCCAGTAATGCTGGGTAGGCGGAGCTAGGAGACAATCGTTATTGGCGTGCCTCATCGCTTTCTGCCATTTCCAGGAATTCCTAGCATCTTATGGCGGATTTAGATGATAAATAAGCGTTGCACTTGAATGTGCTGAATTGGGGTCCGTTTCCCCTCCCACCCTTAGCGTAACCAAAGCCGTGTGCGCATCTTTATATAGTGTAGTTCGCTGCGGACGGTTGGGCGTGTCAGGCGGGATGAGTTTGGCGCGGTGCCAAACCCGTTCTCCACCAGTTGTTAAAGCGAGCAAGTGATATGACTGTATCATATCGTTCGTATTACTCGTTTTCTACCACTTTTTGTCGCATGCGCGCTTCAACAAGAAGGCAGAGAACGGCTTTGACGGCGTGACACACTCATACTGCCTGACACGCCCAACCGTCCGCAGCGAACTAGAGTGTATGTTGGTACTGATAGTCTACTTAAGGGTTCTGTGTATGGTATCCTCAGACTCACCCTCACCTAAACCCGTTATTTTGACAGTATACGTGAACCCGCTTTTAGAAGCCTTGATTTGATGAGACCGAACCACAGAAATGTGTAATTCTGGGTACGTGAATGCTGGGAGGAGGGAATGGAGACGCGCACTGGCAGCGGTGGGGTATGTGACAAGAAAATCGTAATGTGCCGTGCTGCTGGGCGTGCCGATCGACGCCGACACTATGGACGAGTTTTCCTGCCTGACTGCTTGCATATGAGTGTCAACGGGCCCGTCACGGATTATTGTCTCCGCTAACTGAGAGTCTTTGAGGCCTTCTGATAAACTTCTGAAACTCTCATGAAGCTCCAGTTGACATACTGATCGCATCGAAAATATCTCGCGCATAGCTGCACGACAAGCCGCGCGCTACCAGGTGACAAAGGCAGGACTGTGTCCGCTGTCCGATATAGGTGATTACGCCTGCGTTCTGCTAAGACTGAGCTTCGGGGAGAAGAAGGGATTACAGGAGCGTACCTCTCCCGGACTACGTTGACATACCTTCTTTTTGAGAAGCAAGCACACTGTCAAGGCATTCGTTCGTTTGAATTATTGCATTCAATTTTATGTACTGTTCAGGTGTCTTGTCAAATATATTTGGACGTTTTTGGCGTCCTCAAAGCACCTCGGAACCGGAGACGTCTGGTCCAACGAAGTTCTACCTTGATGATGGTTCTGCGAATGATGAGAAAGAAGATGTAATGACTGGCGATCCACAGAGTGGTGATGCCCCGGCGAGGATCGAAAATAGCAGTAGCAATATCTCTGTAACTGAGTTGGATTTTTGAGTAGTCGTTATGAGTGCTTCATCTAGGTTTTTCAGAATGCGCCTCAATTACGGGGGAATGGTAAGGATGTGAACACTCGACTTTCTCCTTCTCCAAGTGGCAGTGAGCAGTTAAAGAGTTTCAAAGGAAAAATGTTCCTTTCTAGGAGAAATACTCGTTTGGAAATCTAAATTCTCACCAGAAAGTTTGACGATTAAAACTCCTAGTTTGGTCTATGATAGTAATCGTCAGCGTTTAGACAGCCTTGACAGCGATGGTAAGCAAGCGAAATTTTCGGAGAAATTGGCCAGTATGTTCAAAGCTGGAGCTAAGCCAGGACTTATAGACTACAATAGGAGCAACTTCCGTAAGCTTATATTCTTCTGGAATGATCGTTGCTTTTACAAGTTTTCAATTTGTAGGACAATACTGGATGCCTGATTCCACTGGCAAGGAATGCTATCAGTGTGAAGAACGCTTTTCCACGTTTAGGTATGGCTTTTTCTTATTTATTTTCCTAGTTCCGAGCTTCATGCTTATTTTATCCCATATTGACAGGAGGAGACATCATTGCCGCCTTTGTGGGCAGATATTCTGCGCGAAATGTTGCAACATTCATGTACCAGGATCTGCTTTAGGTACGTCGTTTAGTAGCAGTTATGAAGCTCCTCTACAAACAAACATCTCACTAGCATGAAGAAATAGCAGAAGGTGCTCCACAACGGCACATCGCGTGCTGGGGATCCCTAGCGAGGGGGTGAGTATTGACCCCCCGCGGCCGCTCAGCAGTAGCTCTTCCCCGAAAAAGGGAAAAGTTCCTGCAGATTTTCAGCAAAACTAGGCTGAAATGCGGTAGCATATGAGTTTGGAGAATTCACGGAGGATGGTAGGGTG